TCTATCACGTTTTTCTCATAAAATAACCATTCTGAGACCTGACTTACTGCTTGAAATCAGTTTTAAGGATCGAGTGCTCCGGGGGCATCTCAAGCGGCATTAGAAGGACTAAAACTCCGCTCCTAGTTCCAAACACACTGGTGCAGGGAGAGGAGGGCTGCTGAGGTCCCCAGCTGAAGTCTAGAGGATGGGACCATGCCTTTTCAGCTTAAATAATTCTTTAAAAGGCTGTTGTTTCACTCCACTCCCTCAACCTGGGCTTCTTAGCTTTCTGCAATTAAAATAAATAGGTTTTTCTGTCTAAGCTTGGACACCACCGTGGATGTCAGTGCAGGACTCGGGCAGGACTGCATCCCCTCTGCTCTTTCCATTTTATTTCATACGTGACTGCTTAGGGCTGAAACAGTCTCACGTCTCCTGCATGATGCCCTATCAACCGGGTTTTACGGCCTCTGTCTCCTTCTGGAATTATCCCAATGCTGCTTGGTCTGGGCTGTATCTCACCCTGCGATCTTCCAACCCCAGCCCAAGGCAGCTTCCATTGCTATCTCTCCTTGCCATCTGAGCGAGAGGCAGGGATGCCCTGGGGGGCTGAATGCTTCTGTCTGCTGATGGTTTATCTGAAGGGACCAGAAAGAAAATGAAATAGAAATACACGCCTGGTGTAATCCCTCGGCTGGTGTTTCGGATGGGAGGGAAGAACCAAGACGCAGTTCCGTGACTGGTCCAGCGCAGCTCTGGGCATGGGGCTTCAGGTAGGAAGCCCCTTAGCTCTGCAGGTCTCCTCTCCCACAGCATCATGCACTCTTTGGATGGTGGAGGAAGACCTTGGTGAGCCAGGATGGAAGCAGGATGCTCCAACCTCTCCTGCGATTTCTCAGGGAGCCCAGCCCAGTGCTGCGAGGAAGCCCACCCAGCTCTCTCTTGCAACACAAGCAGACTTCAGCATGGTTTTAACCACATTTCAGTGATCACAGGGCTGCAACCCAGCTAAAACAAGCCCCTTTTTTTCCTAAATCACAAGATGAAATTGTCTTTTAAGTTGCATACAGGAAAAAAGGAGGGAGCCCCAAAGAGGAGAGAAAACAGAATTTGCTGCTGACAAACCATCCTGCCCACAGAAAAATGTTTCTAGGATGCCTGAGCAAACCCTTTTCAGCTGTTTTTTGGTCACTTGGTAAAATTTGGTAAAGCCAAACCAAGCACAGAATTAACTACATCATGGCTGTTCACGAGACGAGAAGCGATGGGGAGATTTGAGGACACACTCCAGCAACTACTACAGGTGCCTGCAAGACTCCTCCGAAAATCCCCCCTGTGAGGCACCACGGCTCAGACACAAATTTCAAATCACCCGAGGAGAAAAAATCAGCCACTTTTTCTCCTGTTCAATAACATTAACCTTGCAAACTCCTGGTTTTAGTAAAGCTTTATTGCCCCGGTTGTGTTGTCTCAGCCACAGCAGAACACGCTGGCAGAAATAAAGCTGCATGTACAACTAACTCCCTTATTCCCCGCTTATTTTCACATTTAACCATAGTCACGATTCCTATCGAGGACTCTAGAATGCCCTCATATAATCAAATACGCAATTTAGACAATTAAATATCCAGTTGACCCAATTAAATTAACTCGACGGATTGAAATCACCAATGCCATAGGAGCTCAGCTGCCTGTTTAGCACATCCCCTCCTTCAGGCAGACAGGCATCGGATGCTCGCTGCAACCCCCTCTCAACCATACCCACTTTGCAGGCGACCCTGAAAGTCAGCAAATTTGGCTTTTCAGTAGAAAGAGAGGAAGCAAGTCGCAAGGACTCAAAGCTTTTACAGATAATACCTTGCCAGCTGCCTCTTCTAATACAAGTGGGGGCATCTGGCTATGCTGGAATAAGTATAAGGGGAAGAGGAGGTCCTTAAGATACTCCTGGAGCAATATAGGACATAGCCCAGATTTAAAAGACAAACCAGGGGGATGGACAGACTCTGAATTTTCAGGAGGTTAGGATTTATGCATTAACCCAACGCTGGAAGCTGCTAAACAGCAGCATTATCCAAAGAGACTCCATGAGACGCTGGGGAGAGATGTGCAATGAAGAAAAGGTTAAAAAAAAAACCCACATTAAAGAGGTTTCCCCTACCTCCGGTCGTTTCTTCTCCTTCTGAACAGTTTTTTGGTGTGTGCGATTTCAGCTTCATGAGGCAACGGATGGTAACCCTGTAAAACAGAGAGAAAAGCCACAATCAGCTCCAAGATAGAGGAGGCATCAATATGGAAGGGGTCAGAGGGAGGCAGAACCGTACACCCAACGTGTGAGCACGATAAAAGAAACAGTTCCCATCCAAACATCCTTACAACATCTCTGACCCTATTGAAGCAGGTCTGGAAATCCCCAGACTTGTTGTACCCTCACAGGGCCATTGCAGTGAGGAGAGAATGAAGTTATCTGTAATTTCTGTATGGGAAAAACCACATGGGGCAAATAACCGGACCGCGTATGGATGGACCCCGATATACACCATCCACTGGGAATTCACCCACTTCACCCACGACACTGCTGATAGAATCATAGAATCACAGAATCGTTTATGTTGGAGAAGAGCTTGAAGATCACCAAGCCCAACCGTTCCCCTACCCCTGCCATCCCACCACTAAGCCCTGGCCCTCCG